CCACCACCACCACCACGACAAAGACGCCGACTACGACGGGTACGGCGGCGGCCTCGCGGCGGCGACGGCAACGACGCCGACGATGACGGAGGCGACGGCGGCCCCGCCACGGCCAAGTTGTTGGAGCACTGCTGGAGCTCGGGCACGAAGGCGTGGTCTCGTTGCCGCCGCCCTGGCCGCCGCCGTGCTTACAGGTTTTCGGTAAAATTTCCGCCGTTCCTCCGAGAACCAGTCCAGAAGATGTGGACGGAGTCCACGGGTCAGTCCTAGTCTATATCATATGGCCGGAGGAACCGCGTGCCGGAAGGAGAACGCGCCAAATGCCCGGAGACGGCTCCGAGACGCTCCGGAGGCCGCCCCGACGGCCCAAAGACGGCTCCGAGCCGCTCCAAGACGGCTCCGACCCGCTCAAGATGCCCCGAAGGCGGCCCAAGAGGGCCCCGAGACGCGCATTGATCCGGCCAAGACGCCCAAGATTGGCCCAAGACGGCCCACGAGCCCCCCAAGACGGCCCAACAGGCCTCCCAAGAGGCCTCCCAAGAGAGCCCCGAGAGGCCAAAAACGTTGATTTTCATTTGTTCTTCCGAGGTGTTTTGCTTCCTCGCTTTTTCGGCTTCCCGACGCTCCGAACCCCCCCCAGAGGCATCCAAGACCGCTCCAAGACGGTCCCAGAGGGCCCCAAGACGGTCCAAGGCGGCCCCAGGTCGGCCCCAGAGGCGCCCAAGACAGGCCAACGGGACCCCAAGATGGCCCGAAGAGCGGCCCGAGATGGCTCCAAGACGGCCCGAGGACCGCCCAAGAAGGCCCTCGGGGGCCCCAAGACAGCCCAAGGGGCGCGATAAACGAGCCCAGAGAGGCCCAAGAGGCCCCCAGGAGCCCAAAAGAGGTCCCCAAACGGCCCCAGAGCTCCCCAAGACGGCCCGACAGGCCTCCCAAGAGGCCTCCCAAGAGAGCCCCGAGAGGCCGAAATTGTTGTTTTTCATAGGTTTTCCTTAGGTTTTTGTGCTTCCTCGCTCTTTCGGCTTCCCGACGCTCCGACACCCCCCCGGAGGCATCCAAGACCGCTTCGAGACGGTCCACGAGGCCCCCCAGAGGACCCCCAGACGGCCCAAGAGAGCCCCAAGACGGTCCAAGGCGGCCCCAGGACGGCCCCAGAGGCGCCCAAGACAGGCCAACGGGACCCCAAGATGGCCCGAAGAGCGGCCCAAGATGGCTCCAAGACGGCCCGAGGACCGCCCAAGAAGGCCCTCGGGGGCCCCAAGACAGCCCAAGGGGCGCGATAAACGAGCCCAGAGAGGCCCAAGAGGCCCCCAGGAGCCCAAAAGAGGTCCCCAAACGGCCCCAGAGCTCCCCAAGACGGCCCGACAGGCCTCCCAAGAGGCCTCCCAAGAGAGCCCCGAGAGGCCAAAATCGTTGTCTTTCATAGTTTTCCTTAGGTTTTTGTGCTTCCTCGCTTTCTCGGCTTCCCGACGCGCCGAAACCCCTCCAGAGGCATCCAAGACCGCTCCAAGACTGTCCACGAGGTCCCCCAGAGGACCCCCAGACGGTCCAAGAGGGCCCCAAGACGGTCCAAGGCGGCCCAAGGACGGCCCCAGAGGCGCCCAAGACAGGCCAACGGTGGCCCGAAGAGCGGCCCAAGATGGCTCCAAGACGGCCCGAGGACCGCCCAAGAAGGCCCTCGAAGGCCCCACGATAGCCCAAGGGGCGCGATAGACGAGCCCAGAGAGGCCCACGAGGCCCCCAGGAGCCCAACAGAGGTCTCCAAGAGGTGCCACGGGGCTTCCAAACTGCTTCGAAGAGAGGGGGGCGGACCAGGGGACCGCCTCAGGAACGGCCCAATAGGCCTCCCAAGAGGCCTCCCGAGAGAGCCCCGAGAGGTCAACATCGTTGATTTTCATTGGTTCTTCCGAGGTTTTTCGCTTCCACGCTTTTCCGGCTTCCCGACGCTCCAAACCCCCCCAGAGGCATCCAAGACCGATCCAAAACGGTCCAAGAGGTTCCCAAGAGGACCCCCAGACGGTCCAAGGAAAAAGATGCATTTCCTTTGGAAAACGGGCCACTTTCAAGTTCCTGCTGACGAGGTTCCCTGCCAGCTCCCAGTGCGTGCTTCTCCCCGCGCCCTCGCCTTCTTTTCGGTTGCCTCGGGCCCCCTGTCCGGCCCTTCTGGCGCCTCGGGGCCCTCTTCCGGCCCTCCGCGGCCTCCTCCGGGCTCTCTTGGGATTTCTTCCGGCGCTCCGAGATGCTTCCGGAGGCGCCCTGCAAGCTCAGCGGCCTCCCCCGCGCGCCCAAAATGGCCCCTTCGACGTCCCTGGAAGCTCAGCAGCCTCCCCCGTTCCTGCTGACGAGGTTCCCTGCGAGCTCCCGGTGCGTGCTTTTCCCCGCGCCCTCGCGTTCTTTGCGGCCCCACCAGGGGCTGGGCACTGTTCGTGGAAGCTCTTTCTGGTTCCGTCCTGGCGCCCTCGAGGCCCTTCCCCAGACGGCCTTGAAACCGCGAGGAGCTTCCCAAAGGATCACAACAACATCTCAGGAACTTTGAAGAGGGCCCCGAGAGAGGCCTAGGAAGACCCCGCGAGAGGCCGCGCTCTGTTCGTTTTGAGCGCCCCTAAACACGAATACCACGAAGCTCTTTTTGGTTCCGTCCTGGCGCCCTCGGAGGCCCCTACCGAGACGGCCTTGAAGCCGCGAGGAGCCCCCCAAAGGAGCCCAAGAAGATCTCAGGAACTTCGAACAGAGCACCGACAGAGGCCTAGGAAGGCCCCGCGAGAGGCCGCGCTCTGTTCGTTTTGAGCGCCCCTCAAAACGAACACCACGAAGCTCTTTTCGGTTCCGTCCTGGCGCCCTCGAGGCCCCTACCGAGACGGCCTTGAAGCCGCGAGGACCTTCCCAAAGGAGCCCAAGAAGATCTCAGACGCTTCGAAGAGAGCCCCGAGAGACGCCTGGGAAGGCCCCACCAGGGGCTGGGCACTGTTCGTTTTGAGCGCCCCTCAAAACGAACACCTGGAAGCTCTGTTTTGTTCCGTCCTGGCGCCCTCGAGGCCCCTCCCGAGACGACCTTGACACCGCGAGGAGCTTCCCAAAGGAGCCCAAGAAGATCTCAGGAACTTCGCGAAGAGAGCCCCGAGAGAGGCATAGGAAGACCCCGCGAGAGGCCGCGCTCTGTTCGTCTTGAGCGCCCCTCAAAACGAACACCACGAAACTCTTCTTGGTCCCGTCCTGGCGCCCTCCAGGCCCTTATCGAGACGGCCTTGAAGCCGCGAGGACCTTCCCACAGGAGCCCAAGAAGATCGCAGACGCTTCGAAGAGAGCCCGAGAGAGGCCAGGGAAGGCCCCACCAGGGGCTGGGCACTGTTCGTTTTGAGCACCCCTCAAAACGAACACCTCGAAGCTCTGTTTGTTTCCCTCCTGGCGCCCTCGAGGCCCCTGCCAAGAGGGCCTTGGAGCCGCGACGACCCCCCCAAACAAGCCGAAGAAGATCTCAGACGCTTCGAAGAGAGCCCGAGAGAGGCCCGGGAAAACCCCACCAGGGGCTGGGCACTGTTCGTTTTGAGCGCCCCTCAGAACGAACACCTCGAAGCTCATTTTGGTTCCGTCCTGGCGCCCTCCAGACCCCTACAGAGACGGCCTTGCCGCGAGGAGCTTCCCAAAGGAACCCCAAAAGATCTCAGGAGCCTCGAAGAGAGCCCCACCCCAAACGAACACCATGAAGCTCTTCTTGGTTCCGTCCTGGCGCCCCGGAGGCCCCTACCAAGAGGGCCTTGAAGCCGCGAGAAGCCACCCAGAGGGGCCCAAGAAAATCTCGGGAGCTTCGAACAGAGCACCGACAGAGGCCTAGGAAGGCCCCGCGAGAGGCCGCGCACTGTTCGTTTTGAGCGCTCCTCAAAACGAACACCTCGAAGCTGATTTTGGTTCCGTCCTGGCGCCCTCGAGGCCCCTACCAAGACGGCCTTAGAGCCGGGGGGGGCTTCCCAAAGGAGCCCAAGAAGATGTCAGACGCTTCGAAGGGAGCCCGGGAGAGGCCTGGGAAGGCCCCACCAGGGGCTGGGCATTGTTCGTTTTGAGCGCCCCTCAAAACGAACACCTGGAAGCTCTGTTTTGTTCCGTCCTGGCGCCCTCGCGGCCCCTACCGAGACGACCTTGACACCGCGAGGAGCCCCCGAAAGGAACCCAGAAAGATCCCAGGAACTTCGAAGAGAGCCCCGAGAGAGGCCTAGGAAGACCCCGCGAGAGGCCGCGCTCTGTTCGTTTTGAGCGCCCCTTCAAAACGAACATCACGAAGCTTTTTGGGGTTCCGTCCTGGCGCCCTCCAGGCCCTTATCGAGACGGCCTTGAAGCCGCGAGGAGCTTCCCAAAGGAACCCAAGAATATCTCAGGAACTTCGAAGAGAGCCCCGAGAGAGGCCGAGGAAGACCCCGCGAGACTGGGCCCTGCCGACGCCTTCGACGCAACCGCATTTGTTTGACGCCTTGCCGAAGGGTGTTGTCGCGCTGCGTTCCAGCGCTGCAGAGGGACAGGCGGGAGAACCCGACGGAGAGGAGAAAGAAGAGGAAGATGAGGGACAGGATGAGAGGGACGAGGGTGATCAGGAGGGCACTGAGAAGGATGAGGGAGTCAGGAGGAGGAGGAGGAGGAGGAGGAGGAGTAGGAGGAGGAACAGGAGCAGGAGGAGGAGGAATAGGAGGAGGAGGAGGAGGAGGAGGAGGAGGAGGAGGAGACGGAAACGGAGGAGGAGGAGGAGGAACAGGAGCAACAGAAGGATAATGAGGTTGATGGGAAGACATCCATGTTCTTCTCCCCCGGCTGCTCCATCGCGCCTGCGTTCCCAATGCGTTTTGCACATGGCCCGATCGAGCCTCCTCATCTCCCATGCTCCCCAATCAGGCGGCGCTCAAGGTGCTCGGCGACATGTGGAAGGCGAACCTGACGCCATCCATCGTGATCGCCTGACGGCAGCGCCTCATCACTTCGCAAGTGGACGTAGTCCACGGGTACACCCTAGTCAGCTACAGCGCTGCGACCAGCGCGTGCGAGAAGGGCGAGCAGTGGCAGCGGGCCCTAGCTCTGCTAAACGAGATGTGGGAGGCGAAGCTGAAGCCTAACGTCATCAGCTACAGCGCTGGGATCAGCGCGTGCGAGAAGGGCGAGCAGTGGCAGCGGGCCCTAGAGCTGCTGAACGAGATGCGGGAGGCGAAGCTGCAGCCCAACGTCATCAGCTACAGCGCTGGGATCAGCGCGTGCGAGACGGGCGAGCAGTGGCAGCGGGCCCTCGAGTTGCTGAGCGAGATGCGGGAGGCGAAGCTGGAACCCGACGTCATCAGTGATACAATTCTGGTCGCCGCGCGGGCGAGAAGGAAAATCTGCGGCAGCGCCCCGTGCCGCCCAGAGAGCCCGCGGGCTGCCCAGAGAGCCTCTGGGGCGCTGTTCGGCGGGTTCAGGGGGCCCCTTGGAGCGCTCGCCGATTGCTCCAGGACCCCCGCATCGCCCCAAGACTGCCTCACAGACGCCGACGAGGGCCGAAGCCTACCCGACCGGAGCCCGGCCCCAAAAAGCTTCAAATACGGCCCCCGAGGACCGCCTGGACAGCGCCAGTTGGCAAAACTTGTACGTTTTCCTGCATGTTGGGCCCACAACGGCCCTGGATGCCCTGGGGGCTTCCCAGATCGCGCCTGCACGATCCAAAAAGGCCCCAGGAGGGCCCCCAGACGGCCCAAGAAAACCCGTAGACGGCCTCAGAGGGCCCCACGACGGCCCAAGAGAGCTCCAAGTGACTCCCAAGCCAGCCCCAACCGGGCCCCAGACCCCGCCCGACCAGGCCCAAAGCGACCTGCGAAACGGCCCGAGACCCCCAAGATGGCCCCAAGACTCCCCCTGAAGGGCCCAAAATGCCGCCCAGGAGGGCCCAAAACGACTTCCGAGACGGCCCGAAACTCCCAACATGGCCCCAGGACCTCCCTGCGCGGCCCCCATCCAAGGCCCGCAAACGTGCCCCCCTCATTCTGACTGTGCCTCAAAACCTTTGTGTGTTTTTGCCAATCGCGCCTAGGCCTTTTCACTCTTCCAGGTCAGTGCCCCCAGGGTTCCCCGACTGCTTTCCGCGATTGCCCCCAAACGTGGCCCTTTAGACGTCGGCCCCACACGTGGCCCCCAAACGGGACCCCCAAAGGCAGCCCCCACACAAAGCCTCCGAAGGTTGCACCTACCGCCCCAGTAAGCGTGGCCCCCGAACGTCACCCCCACGCGTAGCCCCCAGGCGCCCCCAAACGTGGCCACCACACGCAGCCCCCAACAATTGCCCTCAAACGTGATTGTCACATGTGCCTCCGAAGGTTGCCCCTACCGCCCCGGGGACGCCCGAGCTGTTCAACTTCGACGAGCTGGTCACCAACGGTGTGCGAGTCCCAGGCTCAGCACGCCGTGGATTTATTCTACGGGTTCACACTAGTCTATACTACAATGCAGGGACCCGCGCGTGCGAGAAGGGCGATTCGGACCAAAAAGTGTAGCAGGCCCAAGACACGCCAAGAGGGCCCCACGAGGCCCCCAAGACGGCCCCAGAGGGCCCCGGGACGTTCCAAGATGGGCCCAAGACGCGCCAAGAGGGCCCCAAGAGGCCCCCAAGACGGCCCCAGAAGGCTCCGGGACGCCCCAAGATGGGCCCAAGACGCCGAAGCTTGGTCCAAGTCGGCCCCAGAGGCGGCCAAAATGCCCCAAGAGGCCTCCCAAGAGGCTTCCCAGCAGGGCTCCGAGCGGGAGAAATCGCCGCTTTCCATTGTGTCTTTCTATGTTTTTCGCATTCTCCCCTTCTCGCCGTCCCTGCGCTCCAAGACGGCCCAAGAGGTCCCCAAGACCGCTGCAAGACCACCGACGAGGCCCGCAAGAGGGCCTCAAGACGGGCCAAGAGGGCCCCCAGACGGTCCCAAGACGCCCCAAGACAGCCCAAGACGGCCCCCCAAGACGGCCCCAGAGGGCTCCGGGACGCCCCAAGATAGGCCCAAGACGCGCCAAGAGGGCCCCAAGAGGCCCCCAAGACGGCCCCAGAGGGCCCCGGGACGCCCCAAGATGGGCCCAAGACGCCGAAGATTGGGCCAAGACGGCCCCAGAGGCTGCCAAAATGCCCCAAAAGGCTTCCCAGCAGGGCCCCGAGCGGGAGAAATCATAGATTTCCATTGGGGTTTCCGACGTTTTTCGCATTCTCCCCTTCTCGCCGTCCCTGCGCTCCAAGACGGCCCAAGAGGTCCCCAAGACCGCTCCAAGACCACCGACGAGGCCCGCAAAAGGGCCTCAAGACGGGCCAAGAGGGCCCCCAGACGGTCCCAAGACGCCCCAAGCCAGCCCAAGACGGCCCCAGAGGGCCCCGGGATGCCCCAAGATGGGCCCAAGACGCGCCAAGAGGGCCCCAAGAGGCCCCCAAGACGGCCCCAGAGGGCTCCGGGACGCCCCAAAATGGGCCCAAGACGCCGAAGATTGGGCCAAGACGGCCCCAGAGGCGGCCAAAATGCCCCAAGAGGCCTCCCGCGCATGCAACCCACCGGAGCCGTCACGACACGAAAACGTCACCATGCCATGTCAAGTGGCCTCCAAAGGGATCTGCAAGCACTTTTTCTTAGAAAAATGCTCCGCAGGGCCCTTTGGCGCCCAGAGCAAGCTTACAGTATGCGATAGTGGCCCTCGGAGGCGCTCTCAGAGCCACGTTGGACCGTCTTGGCCATTCGCGCCGCTCGGACCCCCGACATCTTGGGCCGCGTTCGCCGTTCTTATACCGCTCTGAACGCCATCTTGAGCCATCGTGGCCATTCGCACCGCTCGGGCGCCCCGACGAATCCACGCTCTCCTCCAGGCATCTTGCCATCGCCTCGGAGCCTTCTTCCAGAGCCTCGCGGGCTCAAACGGCCCAGTTGTCAGGTGCGCATGCAACCCACCGGAGCCGTCACGACACGAAAACGTCACCATGCCATGTCAAGTGGCCCCCAAAGGGGTCTGCAAGCACTTGTTCTTAGAAAAGTGGTCCGCAGGGCCTTTTGGCGCCCAGAGCGAGCCTACAGTATGCGATAGTGGCCCTCGGAGGCCCTCTGAGAGCCATCTTGGACCGTCTTGGCCATTCGCGCCGCTCGGACCCCCGACATCTTGGGCAGCATTCGCCGTTCTCACCGCTCTGAAAGCCATCTTGAGCCATCTTGGCCATTCGCACCGCTCGGGCGCCCCGTCGAATCCACGGTCTCCTCCAGGCATCTTGCCATCACCTCGGGGCCTTCGCCTTCCAGAGTCTCGCGGGCTCAAACGGCCCAGCTGCCATAAATGGCCACGTCCGGTGCCCCCCCCCCAGGAGCCCCCTCCGTTGTGTCGAGCTTTTGGCCCAATGTTCCGGCCTTCCCGAACCTGGGTCGCTGCGCGCACACCGCCATGCGGATAGCCTTCCGTCACCATCTCCGCCGCTCCCCCTGGACCACGTTCAGAAAGATGTCGTGGACGGAGTCCACGGGTCAGCCCTAGTCAGCTACAACGCCGGGATCAGCGCGTGCGAGAAGGGCGAGCATTGGCAGCGGGCCCTAGAGCTGCTGAGCGAGATGCGGGAGGCGAAGCTGGAACCCGACGTCATCAGTGATACAATTCTTGTCGCGGCGCGGGCGAGAAGGAAAATCTGTGGCAGCGCCCCGTGCCGCCCAGAGAGCCCGCGGGCCGCCCGGAGAGCCTCTGGGGCGCTCCTCGGCGGCTTCAGGAGGCCCCTGGAGCGTTCGCCGACGGGTCCAGGACCCCCACATCGCCCTAAGACTGCCTTACAGACGCCGACGAGGGCCGAAGCCTACCCGACCGGAGCCCGGCCCCGAAAGGCTTCAGAGACGGCCCCCGAGTACCGCCTGGACGGCGCCAATGGGCAAAACTTGTGCGTTTTCCGGCATGTTGGGCCCACAACGGCCCAGGATGGTCCTGGGGGCTTCCCAGATCGCGCCTGCTTCTAAGGAGGCCCCAGGAGGGCCCCCAGACGGCCCAAGAAAGCCCGTAGACGGCCTCAGAGGGCCCCGAGACTGCCCAAGAGAGCTTCAAGTGACTCCCCAGCCAGCCCCAAACGGGCCCGAGACCCCGCCCGACCAGGCCCAAAGCGACCTCCGAAACGGCCCGAGACTTCCAAGATGGCCCCAAGACGCCCCCAGAAGGGCCCAAGAAGGCTTTTTCACTCTTCCAGGTCAGTGCCCCCAGAGCTCCCCGACTGCTTTCGGCGATTGCCCCCATACGTGGCCCCTTAGACGTCGGCCCCACACGTGGCCCCCAAACGGGACCCCCAAAGGCAGCCCCCACACAAAGCTTCTGAAGGTTGCACCTACCGCCCCAGTAAGCGTGGCCCCCGAACGTCACCCCCACGCGTAGCCCCCAGGCGCCCCAAAACGCGGCCACCACACGCAGCCCCCAACAATTGCCCTCAAACGTGATTGTCACATGTGCCTCCGAAGGTTGCCCCTACCGCCCCGGGGACGCCCGAGCTGTTCAACTTCGACGAGCTAGTCACCAACGGTGTGCGAGTCCCAGGTTCAGCACGCCGTGGATTTAATCCACGGGTTCACACTAGTCAGCTACAGCGCTGGGATCAGCGCGTGCGAGAAGGGCGAGCAGTGGCAGCTGGCGCTGGTGCTGCTGTGCGAGATGCGGGGGGCGAAGCTGGAGCCCGACGACTTGGGGTGCCCCTCTCGCAAGCCCAAGAAGAAGCACATCGAGCACATGCGGTTTGGGGCCCTCTTGGGGCCCCCTCTGGGGGTGCTCTTGCGGCCTTGGGCCTTCGGGCCCCTCCAAGACAGGGCCAGGGTGCACTCTGCCACAGGAAGGCCTCTCGTGGCAGAGCGGTGAGCCCGCGCCCGACGGCGTCCAGAGGCTCTCCTGCTAGCAGTCTTGGGGCCCTCCGGAGGCCCTCCGCGTGCCCTCTGGCACCCTGGCACCGTAACGGGTACTTACTAACGGGTACTTTGAATTTTTGCCGAAGGTTGCCACTTTAGGGCCTTTTTCTTGCATTGCAGCTTTGCCCACATCGGGAAGGGTTGGGTTCGCTGGGTCACTGGCTAAAGTACCCGTTAGTGGAGTCCCCGTTTAAGGGGTCTGGCACCCTGGCACGACAACCCCAAGACGGTCCCGACACTGCCTCAGGGACGCCCGAGCTGTTCAACTTCGCTGAGCTGTGCACCCACGGCGTGCGAGTCCCAGGTTCAGCACGCCGTGGACCAGTCTCTTCTCTGTGGCCGACGGAAGCGCGTGCCAGAAGCAGCGCGCTCCCTGGAGGGCCATTTCTCGACACCCCTCACGCAGATCCTGGCCCCCGAGCGTCACAAATCGAGCCCTCCCCCCAAAGACGCGCCGAAGTGGCCATAAGAGGCTCCAAGGAGCGTCCAAGAGGCCCCCTAGAGGCCCCCAACAAGGCCCAAGAGGCCTCCGGGAGCCTCCAACAGTCCTCCGAAGCATGCCCCCAGAGGCCAAAATCCTTAGTTTTCCAGCGTTTTTGGAGGAGTTTCGCCTTCTCGCCTTCTCGCCTTCTCGGCTAGCCGGCGCTCCAAGACGGCCGAAGAGACCCGCAAGACCGCCCCAGGACGGCTCAACAGGCCTCCAAGCGCGTCCCCAGACGGCCCAGGGAGGCCCAAGATGGCCCAAGAGGCGCCCAAGACTGCCCCAGAGGATCCCAAGCCAGGCCCAAGAGGGGGGCAAAGAACGGGGAAAAACCCTGACACTGCAAGCCCTGGGCCCCCATACGCCCACACAAGGCCCCAAGACCCCCCCAAGGGAATGCCAAGAGGTCCCCAGAGGCCCCGAAGAAGCCCAACGCAAGCCCCAAGACGGCCCCCAAGAGGCCCCAAAGCTGCCTCCAAGAGGGACCCCAGACGATGCGTGCCAGAAGGTCCTCTGTCTTGAAATGTCCGCCAGGCTCTCCAGGCCGCCCTGCGAGCCCCCAGGCCGCTCCGAGACGGCTCAGAAACACCCATGAGGGCGCCCGGACAGACCAAGAGGGACCCAAGCGAGCCCCAGGTCGGCCCCAGAGGCCTCCAAGGCAGGCCAGGAGGCTCCCAAGGCGGCCCAGGAGGACCCCCAGGAGGGACCCAAGAGGCAAAAATTGGCCCCTTCCTTTCGAAAAACGTGCATTTTTGATATGCTCGCTCTTTTCGTCCTCACCGTGTCCAAGACGGCTATACAGGCCTTCCCGATCGCCCCAAGACGCCCCCAGAGCACCCCAGGAAGGCCCCTAAACGGCCCGAGGCGGGCCCGCGACGGCAAGAGGGACCCAAGGGAATCCCAGGAGGCCGGAAGGAGGCCCCCAAACGGCCCCTAAGAGGCCCTAAGTGTCTTCCACCTTGCCTCTAAGAGAGGGGGGTCGGACGAGAGGCGAGGGCTGGACTGCATGCCCACAAAGGAGGCTGTTTTCACCGCTCTGGAGCCCTTCCATGCTTGTCTTTCGGGAAGCGGTCCAGAGCGCCCCGGAGCGCTCCTGGAGCCCTTCGGGCGCTCCAGGACCCTTGGAGGCTCCCCAGATGGCGCCACGAGGGCCCCACACGGCGCCATGAGGGCCCCAGACGGTCCTTTCACGCTCCGGGAATCCCCTCAGAGCGTCCACGAGGCCCCTCAAATGGGCACGACACGACCCAAGCGAGCGCCAAGGCGCTCCGAGAGGCCTCCAAAAGGCCTCACAAGAGGGTCCCGAGAGGTCAAAATCGTTTGTTGTCCTAGGCTTGTCCAAAGATTCCCCGCTTGCCGCCAATTCAGCTGTCGCACACTCGAAGCAGCCCTGGAAGACTTCAAGGCCACCCCAAAAGAACCCAACACGCCCCCAGGAGGCTCCCAGGAGGGCCCCAAGATGGGCCAAGACCGCCCCAGCACGGCCCGAGGCGCGCTGGAGACGGCCCAAGACGGCTCCAAGACGGCTCCACGAGGGTGCCAACACGGCCCCAGACGGGCCCAGCACGGCCCAAGGCACGCTCAAGACGGCCCAAGACGACTCCAAGACGGTCCCAGGAGGGTGCCAACACGGCCACAGATAGGCCCAGGACGGCCCAAGGAGGCGCCCAGTCGGGGCCTCAAGACGGGCCAAGATGGCAAGAGAGCCCCATCTGGCAAGAATCGTTTTATTTTCCATTGTTTATTGTTACAGCCTTTTGCGATTCCCGCCATTTCGGCGGTCGGATGCCCCAAGAAGCCCCAGACAGTCCCAGGAGGGTCCGAGGAAACGCACAGGAAGGCCCCAAGACAGGCCAAGACGTCCCCAGCACAACCCAGGGCACGCTGCGACGGCTCAAGACGGCTCCAAGACAGCCCCAAGAGGGTGCCAACGCGGCCCCTGAGTGAGCCCAGGACGGCTCAAGGAGGCGCACAGGAGGGGCCCAAGACGACTCGAAGGCGGCCCCCTCACGGCCCCGGCTCCAAGACAGCCCCAAGATAGTGCCAAGAAGGACCCCGATGGGCCCAGGACGGCCTGCGGACGCGCCCATGAGGGGCCCACGACGAACCAAGACGGCCCCATCACGGCAATCGGCGCTCTCAAGACGGGCCCAGACGGCTCCAAGACGGCCCTTGGAGGGAGCCAACACGGCCCCACACCCTTCGGGCGAACACTTGGGGGGGCTGGGAGCTTGCGACAAGTCTCCCACATTCGTTGTCCTGCCCCATTCTGTTCGCCTGGAGGCCTCCTCCAACCCTGTCGGCGAGGCCGCCAACCCTGGGGCCCGTGGGCCCCACGCCGCTTGGGCAGAAGACGAACGCCAGGTCTGACAGGCCAGCTACCGGCCCCCTTTGCCCGATATGCTGAGCCATTCTGTTCCCCTAGGGGCCTTGGCAAACTCTTCGGGCCAACCAGATCGGACCCCTGGGACAGCAGCCAATTGATATGACTCAGGCACCTCTCCGCACTCTTCGGACCACAGACCCTCTGGGCGAGCAGAATGGGACTTGGCGAACAAACCCTCCCGTTGGCGGCGATGCGACTGGATCGCACCATCAAGGCGTGCCCAGAGGTGATGGCCGACCCGGCAGCGGTTTCTGTTAAGATTTTACTGAATTCAAGATTTTCTTTAAGCTCTCTTGGGCCCTCCCTGTAGATCCTTGCGCTCCCCGGCGCTTTCGGTGGTTTTCCCCGATGGCCTCCCGAGCCCTTCCCTAGGCGCTCCTGAGACGCCTCAGATGGGCTTCGACTTCGACGCACATCCCCGAGAGACTTCGAAACTGCCCTCAATAGGAGGGGGGTGAACGAGCAGTGCGCCGGGGCCAAGCTGCTGGAGCGTTGCAAGAGCTCGGACACGAAGGCGCGGTCTCGCTGCCGCCGCCCGAGCGGCCGCCGTGTTTGTAGATTTTCGGTGCAATCTGCGCCGTTCCTCCGAGAACCATTCCAGAAAGATGTCGTGGACGAAGTCCACGGGTCAGCCCTAGTCAGCTACAGCGCTGCGATCAGCGCGTGCGAGAAGGGCGAGCAGTGACAGTGGGCCCTAGCGCTGCTGAGCGAGATGTGGGAGGCAAAGCTGAAGCCAAACGTCGTCTGTACTGCAATTCTGGTCGCGGCAAGTGTGAGAAGGAAAATCTGCGGCAGCGTTCCGGGCCGCCCAGAGAGCCCGCGGGCCGCCCAGAGAGCCTCTGGGGCGCTCCTCGACGACTTCAGGAGGCCCCTGGAGCGCTCGCCGACGGCTTCAGGACCCCCAGATCGCCCCAAGACGGCCTCACAGGCGCCCACGAGGGCCGAAGCCGACCCGACCGGAGCCCGGCCCCAAAAGGCTTCAGAGACGGCCCCCGAGGACCGCCTGGACGGCGCCAAGGGGCAAAACTTGTGCGTTTTCAAATCATTTCGAGGTTCTTCCTGTTCCCGCCATTTCGGGCCCACAACGGCTCAGGATGGCCCTGTGGGTTTTCCGCAACGCGCCTGCACTGTCCAAGAGGACCCCAGGAGGGCCCCCAGACGGCCCAAGAAGAAGGCCCGTAGACGGCCCAAGCGGGCCTCAAGACGGGCCAAGAGGGCGTCAAGTGACTCCCAAGCCAGCCCCAACCGGGCCCCAGACCCCGCCCGACCGGGCCCAAAGCGACCTCCGAAACGGCCCGAGACCCCCAAAATTGCCCCAAGACGCTCCCAGAAGGGCCCAGGAGGGCCCAAAGCGACCTCCGAGACGGCCCGAGACCCCCAAGATGGCCCCAGGACCTCCCTGCGCGGCCCCCAAACGAGGCCCGCAAAAGTGCCCCGCTCACTCTGACTGTGCCTCAAAACCCTTGTGTTTTTGCTAATCGCGCCTAGGCCTTTTCACTCTTCCAGGTCAGTGCCCCCAGAGCTCCCCGACTGCTTTCCGCGATTGCCCCCAGACGTGGCCCCTTAGACGTCGGCCCCACACGTGGCCCCCAAACGGGACCCCCAAAGGCGGCCCCCACACAAAGCCTCCGAAGGTTGCACCTACCTCCAGTAAGCGTGGCCCCCGAACGTCACCCCCACGCGTATAACCCAGGCGCCCCCAAACGTGGCCCCCACACGCAGCCCACAACCACTGCCCTCAAACGTGATTGTCACATGTGCCTCCGAAGGTTGCCCCTACCGCCCCGTCCCCGAGCTGTTCAACTTCGACGAGCTGGTCACCTACGGTGTGCGAGTCCCAGGCTCAGCACGCCGTGGATTTAATCTACGGGTTCACACTAGTCTCTCCTACATGGCGGGAGGAAGCGCGTGCCAAACCTGCGTGGACTCAATTGGATAAACTCGCCCCTTTACGGCCTCACCACATGGTCGATTCGCCCACGCCCAACAGGGGTCCAAGAGCGGCTGCAAGACTGTCCGCGAGGGCTCCAAGACGGCCTCAGTTGGTGCCGAGACGGGCCTTGACGCTCCAAAGACATCCGAAGGTGGCTGCAAGACCGTCCAAGAGGTCCCAAAGACGTCCCGAGAGGGCCCCGACACGCCAAAAAAGCACAAATGGTTACATCCCGATGGGAAAACGTACATGTTCAGCATATCCGCCTTCTGCGCTGTTACACGGCCCAGGACAGACCAAGAGGCCTCCCAAAACCCCCAAAGACGACCCAAGCGGCCCCCAAGAGGGCCCCAAGACCGTCCAAGAGGGCCCAAAAACAGCCCAAGGGGGCCCTCAAACGGCTTGAGAGGGCCCCAAGACGGCTCCAAGAGGGCTCCGAGAGGGCCCGAAGAGGCTCCCGAGAGGGCCCCAGGAAGCCCTCCAGAGAGCCCCAAGACGGTCCAAGGCCTCCAAGGAGCCCCAAAGACCTCAGAAGGTGGCTCCAAGACGGTCCAAGAGGCCCCAAAGACTCTCCGAGAGGGCCCCGAGAGGACGCCAAAGAGGTAACCATGGTCACATCCGCATGGGAAAACGTACATTTTCAGCATCTCCGCTTTTTGCGTTGTTACACAGTCGGTCCAGGACTGGCCAAGAGACCCCCCAAAATTAGCCTGGCGAAGGACCCAACCATATGCAACTGTGAATACCGCAAGTGTGAATATCGTTTTCGGCGGCGCTACCTCTGGGTAGTGGAGACGCATGCGAACACCCCCACTGGGGCCTTCGGTGGAGCTCCCTCTGGGGCTACGAAACGCTGCCCTGGGTGGGGGAACCGCATGCAGGCAGCCCCACTGGGGCCTTCGGTGGAGCTCCCTGTGAGGCTACGAAACGCTGCCCTGGGTGGGGGAACCGCATGCGGGCACCCCCACTGGGGCCTACGGTGGAGCTCCCTCTGGGGCTACGAAACGCTGCCCTGGGTGGGGGAACCGCATGAGGGCAGCCCCACTGGGGCCTACGGTGGAGCTCCCTATGGGGCTACGAAACGCTGCCCTGGGTGGGGGAACCGCATGTGGACACCCCCACTGGGGCCTTCGGTGGAGCTCCCTCTGGGGCTACGAAACGCTGCCCTGGGTGGGGGAACCGCATGTGGACACCCCCACTGGGGCCTTCGGTGGAGCTCCCTCTGGGGCTACGAAACGCTGGTGGGGGAACCGCATGTGGACACCCCCAACCCTTGCCCTGGGTGGGGGAACCGCATGGACAGCTGGGGCTACGAAACGCTGCCCTGGGTGGGGGAACCGCATGGGGGAACCGCATGGACACCCCCACTGGGGCCTTCGGTGGAGCTCCCTATGGGGCTACGAAACGCTGCCCTGGGTGGGGGAACCGCATGTGGACACCCCCACTGGGGCCTTCGGTGGAGCTCCCTATGGGGCCACGAAACGCTGCCCTGGGTGGGGGAACCGCATGTGGACACCCCCACTGGGGCCTTCGGTGGAGCTCCCTATGGGGCACGAAACGCTGCCCTGGGTGGGGGAACCGCATGTGGACACCCCCACTGGGGCCTTCGGTGGAGCTCCCTATGGGGCTACGAAACGCTGCCCTGGGTGGGGGAACCGCATGTGGACACCCCCACTGGGGCCTTCGGTGGAGCTCCCTATGGGGCTACGAAACGCTGCCCTGGGTGGGGGAACCGCATGTGGACACCCCCACTGGGGCCTTCGGTGGAGCTCCCTATGGGGCTACGAAACGCTGCCCTGGGTGGGGGAACCGCATGTGGACACCCCCACTGGGGCCTTCGGTGGAGCTCCCTATGGGGCTACGAAACGCTGCCCTGGGTGGGGGAACCGCATGTGGACACCCCCACTGGGGCCTTCGGTGGAGCTCCCTATGGGGCTACGAAACGCTGCCCTGGGTGGGGGAACCGCATGTGGACACCCCCACTGGGGCCTTCGGTGGAGCTCCCTATGGGGCTACGAAACGCTGCCCTGGGTGGGGGAACCGCATGTGGACACCCCCACTGGGGCCTTCGGTGGAGCTCCCTATGGGGCTACGAAACGCTGCCCTGGGTGGGGGAACCGCATGTGGACACCCCCACTGGGGCCTTCGGTGGAGCTCCCTATGGGGCTACGAAACGCTGCCCTGGGTGGGGGAACCGCATGCGACACCCCCACTGGGGCCTTCGGTGGAGCTCCCTATGGGGCCACGAAACGCTGCCCTGGGTGGGGGAACCGCATGCGACACCCCCACTGGGGCCTTCGGTGGAGCTCCCTATGGGGCTACGAAACGCTGCCCTGGGTGGGGGAACCGCATGTGGACACCCCCACTGGGGCCTTCGGTGGAGCTCCCTATGGGGCCACGAAACGCTGCCCTGGGTGGGGAACCGCATGTGGACACCCCCACTGGGGCCTTCGGTGGAGCTCCCTATGGGGCTACGAAACGCTGCCCTGGGTGGGGGAACCGCATGTGGACACCCCCACTGGGGCCTTCGGTGGAGCTCCCTATGGGGCTACGAAACGCTGCCCTGGGTGGGGGAACCGCATGTGGACACCCCCACTGGGGCCTTCGGTGGAGCTCCCTATGGGGCTACGAAACGCTGCCCTGGGTGGGGGAACCGCATGTGGACACCCCCACTGGGGCCTTCGGTGGAGTTCCCTATGGGGCTACGAAACGCGTGAGAGGTGTGCCGAGAGCAGAGGCAAGGAGGGGGAGGAGGGGGAGGGGGAGGGCGAGGAGGAGGAGAAACGCGGGGCACCGTCTCTTCAAAACGAGGACCCAACACCACAGGATGGTTGGGAAAAAACAGGACGATCCAGCGGCCCCCAAGAGGGCCCCAAGACCGTCCAAGAGGGTCCAGAGACGGCCCAAGGAGGCCCTCAAGCTGCTTGAGAAGGCCTTAGGACGGCTCCAAGAGGGCTCCAAGAGGGCCTGACGAGGCTCCCAAGAGGGCCCCAGGAAGCCCTCCAGAGAGCTCCAAGACGGTCCAAGGCCTCCAAGACGCCCTGTGACGACCCAAACGGGCCCCAAGACGTCCCCAAACGCCTACAGAACGGCCCAAAAGGGCCCCTGAAGGGCCCCAAAAAGTCCCGCACACGGACCGCTGAGAAGGCGCACCGACATCAAATAAAAGAGCGATCGGTACAGTAAAAAGCTTTTCAGTCCAAGGCTCCCAAGAGGGAACAGAACACAGTAAGCTCTTCAACCCGAGGTTCCCGAGAGCAAGCCGCAACTTCAAAAACTCTGAAACAGGAGCCCGAAGCTATCATCATCCCCTCAATTCTGGGACAAGTGCGTGGGCCAGTCGCCTTCTGGGCATCCAGCGGCGTCGGCACTGCCTCCGGGTCCCTGTGGGCTCTGGATCCCCAGGACGTCGCAGGGACAGCCTTCGGAAATCTCCGAGATGGCCAGAATTGGCCCCGACAGCCGTCAGACAGGGGCCCGAGAGGTCTCAAGCGGTTCCATTAGGCCTCCAAAATGCCCCTAGACGCCCCAAGAGGCTTTGCAGGAAGTGTCCAGAAGACCACGGCAGCTGCAAAGCTTTCCAACACCCAGAGGAAGATGTATGTCTTTTGCTTCGCAGGCTTTTCGACACGAGACAGCTCCAAGACGGCTTCGGGGGAGACTCTTGGGCTCCTTGCGGGCCACATTGGGCCCTCTGGGGGCCCCCAGTCTCCTGGGTTGTTTTCGGGGCCTCCTTGGGCCGTCTCGGTCCG